CACACACACACACACACACACACACACACAATTGATCCAAGTACAACGAACGGGCTGCCCCACACAATCACACACACACACATATATGTGACCAGTGCAGAGCTGCACAAAGCCTAAGCCTAAGCCTAGCTGAAGTCGTAGAGGTTAGCGGCGCCGGCGTGGTCGCGGCTGGAGCTGGCACTGCTAGAGCTGGAGGCGCTGTGCTTGGCCACCTTCTGCTTCTTGTTCTTGCTGGGCTTGCTCGACGCCTTACTGCTGGGCCGCTTGGCCGGGGCCGCGGGGGCCGTCGATGGGGCCGATGTGGCCGCGCTGGTCGCTACACCCGAGGTACCTGGACAGGTCGAGACAAAGTGTACCCGTGTTTTAGTCGAAGTGAGAGGCTTTTTGTGGGACTCGTAACACAGACAGGTCATGTGTGGGCTGAAGATTAGAGGCGTTACTTGAGAGTATCATTTTAGTAGTACTAGTAAAAGGTTTACGGCACTCGCAACCCTAATTAGGTCTTATAAGTACTGAAGATTAGAGGTGTCACTTGAGAGTACCATATGAAGAAAAGAAGGAAGGAGGAGAGGTGAGGATGACAGATGTTTGATAGGAAAGAGGGAGCAAACCTCACCAGAACACCCGCCAACTACCCACTGGTTTAGGAATGAAAATCATCACAAGAGCTAGAAATAAAAGACATTGTATCACAAAGACAAAAAAGACATCGGTTGTTCTTCTGTCACATCAAGTGTCTCCGTATATTGTCCGTCTGCTGGCACGTTGCATCTCGCTCAGATCAGGTTGGCCCGACATGCAGGGTTCCTGTAGCCCACCTCCTTGCTTCTACCTGTCGGTATGTTCATGTTAATAAACAGCGCCAATAAAAATATGGCAGCTTGTAATGTGTGCTTCCAAGGAAGTTGCAATTGTTTCAGAACGCTTTCAGGTCTGCTGGGGTAACAGCATAGATTGCAAAGCGCATAGAACTTGCTGAAATATAATTTAAATTCATGATGCGTTTTTATAACTTGGGGATGTATACTGTCACCCTGGCAGAGCCCCATACCAGAGAAGGGGACATATTGATGCCTGGCGCCGCCCCTTATGGACCTGTCCGGTGTGCAATGACGTTGTTGCCCAGGACAGGTCATACAGGTAATACAGGTAGAACTTGCTGTTGAACAGGAATTGTGCAAAACAAATGCTATCTATTATCAATTATTATAATTACTTTACCACTTTGCCATCACAAGACTCAATAGTAAAAACCCTCGCCATCAAAGGCAAAAGCATTTTGGGGAAAATCCAAAGACTCTAAGCGGTAAACATCATTGATCAGCGAGATGTGACGGCAAAGAGTTAACAAGTTACTTCTTCAACGTTTCCCTTCCTCCGTTACCTTCTGAGGTTGAGTGGAAAAGCAAACGTTTTTCTCTCGTTTCTTGTAGCGCCTGTTGTATGGTCATGTTGTTTTTTACTAATGTTTCTCTGACCACCTCTATCCATCTTTTCCTGGGTCTGCCTCTTCCTCTGTTTCCATTTGAATTTGATCTCTGGTTTTATGCTCTCACTGCTATACTGTCTGCTGGAAGTCTTGACAGATGTCTTTACCATTATATGCGTCGTTTATCTATGTACTCCAGGCAGGGAGTCGAGCCAACTTGTTCTCTGACAATCTCGTTCCTCATCTCTCATCTCGTCTCTTCTTCTGATGTTCAAAGTTTTTTTTAGGAATCTCAATCCACAGGCGTTGAGTTTACTTTGGTGACATTTGTTATTAGACAAAAACCAAAACAACATAACCACACAACAGGCGATACAAACAAGAGAAACACATTCGCTTCTTCCACGGACAACGTAAGGTCTGACCTGACCATCAATCATTTATTTATAGAGGCACCAGCCATCCATGTCCAGGTGCTGTTTTAGCCTTAACAATGTACGGTAACAGGAAGGGGAAAGCAAAAAGTAAGAAATAATGGTCAAGTAAAGTAAGACTCTAGTTTACTGTCCGTGTTTGGGCTTGGTAGCACGGCGTGGGTACCAACAGCAAGCCCCCTAAAGCATGTAACGACGGCAACACCTACTGTTGTTGGTGGAGGTGGAGTCGGCCGGCGACGAGTTGGAGGAGGCCTCCCACTGCAGCGACTCACGCAGCGTCTGTGTCTCCGTGTCGTCGTACGTGTCGATGTCAATGTGGATGTCCTCCAGGTCGTGGGCGCGGCTGGGGCAAACAAACACCACACAAAGGGAGGGGTAAGAAGGAGGAGGAGGAGGAGGA